ACCCCAACCCCCAACCCCAACCCCAACCCCAACCCCAACCCCAACCCCAACCCCAACCCCAACCCCAACCCCAACCCCAACCCCAACCCCAACCCCAACCCCAACCCCAACCCCAACCCCAACCCCAACCCCAACCCCAACCCCAACCCCAACCCCAACCCCAACCCCAACCCCAACCCCAACCCCAACCCCAACCCCAACCCCAACCCCAACCCCAACCCCAACCCCAACCCCAACCCCAACCCCAACCCCAACCCCAACCCCAACCCCAACCCCAACCCCAACCCCAACCCCAACCCCAACCCCAACCCCAACCCCAACCCCAACCCCAACCCCAACCCCAACCCCAACCCCAACCCCAACCCCAACCCCAACCCCAACCCCAACCCCAACCCCAACCCCAACCCCAACCCCAACCCCAACCCCAACCCCAACCCCAACCCCAACCCCAACCCCAACCCCAACCCCAACCCCAACCCCAACCCCAACCCCAACCCCAACCCCAACCCCAACCCCAACCCCAACCCCAACCCCAACCCCAACCCCAACCCCAACCCCAACCCCAACCCCAACCCCAACCCCAACCCCAACCCCAACCCCAACCCCAACCCCAACCCCAACCCCAACCCCAACCCCAACCCCAACCCCAACCCCAACCCCAACCCCAACCCCAACCCCAACCCCAACCCCAACCCCAACCCCAACCCCAACCCCAACCCCAACCCCAACCCCAACCCCAACCCCAACCCCAACCCCAACCCCCAACCCCAACCCCAACCCCAACCCCAACCCCAACCCCAACCCCAACCCCAACCCCAACCCTTTGTTTAAGTTTTTATTTTTTTAGAATTTTGAGCTGGTTTATTTATTTATTTACATTTATTTTTTGATATTTAGAGAAATATATAGTTGTTATATTTGATAGATTTACTTACATAAATAAATTAAAAAGAATTTCGAATTTAAAATATAATTTTAGATACATTTATTAGAAATGTAAAATTTAAATGGATCATAGATTTTAGAGACTATTTAGGATGTGTTTGATGAGGTGAAGAATAAGGCATTATTTAGCAAAAATATTTTAAGTGAGACAATAGCCTATTTGATGGGCAGCGAGAAATATACAGATATTGATTATATTATTGATACAGATCATAGTTTGTTGCTTTCTGCAAAAAACAAATTTAAAGAATTTATAGCTTTAAAGCTTTGTTAGGCACATGCCAGCTAATATGGCATGATTTACTCAGTTATAAACTAAATTAAAGTGCAGAATCATAATTAATTTTTTAGTTACATTTAAGTTAACGATATCAAGACATTTAGTGTTTAGAATGATATATTAATTATTTATTTTGAGGAGGAGATGTGCAATTTATCGCTACTTGATATTGTATTGTCATAAAAACCTAAAAGTATTGAATTAGATTAGGAATTAAAATTATAAATTGTTATAAAGATTCTTGATTCGCTAAATTATTTGCATAAGCAGGATTTGGTTCATGGAAATTTAAAATTCAGTAACATTTTGCAACAATCTAAAATTTTTAAGCTCTCAGATTAGTTCTTAAATATTCATGATTAGCTAAAATAATCATCGTTGTTGAGCTAAGAAGAAGATGAAGAGTCTAAAAATATATAGCTCTAAAGAATAATATGCAATTATTCTATGCATCCTCCTGAAATTATACAAAAGAAGGAGCCAACTATTTAGTCAGATATATTCACTTTAGGAATTCTGCTATTACAATTAGATAATATATAAAAATTTAACTATGCTAATATTGAAAGCATTGAAAAAGACTATGAAAAATATTTTTCTTAGGGATAAATACCTCCTCAATTATAGCTATAAAGTGAATCTATTTTTTACAAACTTGCCATGAATATGATAAAAAAAAACCCATCAGATCGAATGAATTGTGAATTTTATATTTAAAAACTAATGCTGCATTTGAAGGACAAGAAATTAAATATGGCAATCAGACTAGATTCGTTTTATGTTGATTATTAATCAAAAATTGTCAACAACTCAAAGCTGCTTATGTAAACTATTTAAAAAGATCAAAAATCTAATTAGTAATTAGGCGATTAAGAAGAAGAAGATGAGTCTATTGAATAATTGAAAGATGAATATGATGAAGATTTAAGTTAAGAGTTTCAAGATTAAAATGATAATGAAGAAGAAGAAGAGAAACAGGATAAATTTGATGATCCTAATGACCCTGTTTTAACAATCGAAAATTACATGACGAATTAGCAAAATACCTAAGGATAGGAGTAAAAACAAAAGAAAAAATCTAGTTTCTTTAACATTCAGGTTTTTGGAGATGAAAATGACAAAATTAGTTTAAATGAAGAATTAGATAATGATAAAGTACATCAACCTGTAATTGTCAGTTTAAATAACTCTAAATTAAATTTATCAAGTAGGAAACCTCAATTAAATCACTTAAAGGTTCCCTCTTATACTAGATTAGAAGGGCAAAAAAGTAAATTCTCTTCTTTTTAGTAGATCAATAAATCGATGTTAGAAGACGATAATGTGATAGGAGATGATAATATTATGGATAGTAAAAGTGTTTATTCAAATAATAAAGATAATGATATTAAATCAATTGATTAGGAAGCCAATGCCACTAAAAGTTATAGAAAGTAAGATGATGAGTTGAGCAAATATTCGTAAGTCGAGTCTCCAGTTCACATTAAGCTCAAAAAAGACACTCCTAGCTCGTAGAAGATATCTGCAAATAACATACAGAGAGAGAGACTTAATTCATAAGAAATAAATAAACAGTTTGAAGAAAATTAAAAAAAAATGTCCTAAAGAAAATTACAAATTTAGGCACAAAGATCAAATGTCAGTTAAGAAAATTTCTCACCTCTCTAAATAAATCCCTCCCCTTCTTTGAGCAAAGACTAGAAAAACGATTTAATTTTATTAAATAAATTGGTTCAAGAAAAAAAGAATTTAATTCCATAATTGTCTCTAGTAAGTAGAATTGCATCTTCAAACATCTAAAGTTAGCACCAGTCTTAGAGAGATGACTCTTTATCTTAAAAGGTTAGCAACATTGCTACCGAAAACAAAATGGAATAAAAAGACGAAATTCTCAAACCAGAACAAATCGAAGTAGTTGATGAAAAAGTTGAAATCATTGAAGAGTAAAAAGATAACTACGAAGTTCAAGTAAAATGGAATCAAGCCCTTGGAAAAAATTCAAGAAATGTATTGCTCTAAGGATTGATATATGATATAGAAGAGAAGAACGATAAACTCTAAAGTTTGCAAGTTGATTTCAGTCGTTTTGAGTAATTGACAGACGATGATGCTACCCGTTTCCTAACTTGTCTTTAACAGTCTTACAAGTCTTTAAAACAATTACATTTAAACTTCTACAATAATGATTTTCTCACTTCGAACTTCATGAACTTGCTATTACAAAAGTTAGCTGAATAACAAAAAAGATGTTTTTTATTTTTTAAGAATCTTCTTGGATTAGTTGATCTTAATTTAAAGGTAGACACAGCTAAGATAAATGGATAGCTGATTTAAAATCTAATTATAAATTAATCAAAAACTCTCATTAAACTGAGTTTAACACTAGGAAGAAACATCATATTTTCGAACTACACAGCAGATAAAATTATATTCGATGTAGCAAAATGTAAACATTTATAGTAAATCTTAATAAGTATAGCAGCTGATCATGAATTTCAAAATCATAAAAAATTAAAAATGAAGAAAATACAACAAATTAGTTTAATTTCTAATGAAATTTCCTACAACAGATTCTTTCACAACCAAAACCTAAATCAAATAGTGAAAAAATTAGAAGAATAAACATTTAATAATAATACTCAAAATACTCTCAAAATCAGAATAATCTAAAATAATCAATAATTCTCACCAGAGTCATTTTCAGGGCTATTAAACTTTATAAGTAAGATATTTAATTTTTATTCAGAAAAAAAAATACGTGTTCAATGTATTTCATTTATTTTTCATTTACAACAAGTTGATTTTTAACTTATTTCAATAATAAAAAAAAAATTTAGTAATTTTTAATATTTTTGAATAGGAAAATTTGAATATTTATAGAAACTTACAATAAATATGAGTCATAGAAACATTTAAAAAAATTAAAATATTGAGGAATTGGTTGAAGCACTAGCTAGTTTGAAATTTTTATAAGATTTAAATCTTAACTTTGAATAGTATTCAGTTATTAACTATGAAGCTACTTTACCTTTTTTAAAGTTAAAGGATGCTAAAATATTCATGAAAAATGTAATTATTTTTAGTTATAATGGATTTTCTTTTGATTATGTTAAAAAACATCTGAAGAAGTCGATAAAAATAACTGATTAAGTCAAAGTCTTTGGATTCAAAATTCCTTAAATATTTTCTATTGACAATTAAATTGTAAAATTGGTGGCAGCATATTTTTATAAAAATACTATTTAAAATTCTGAAATTGACACTTCTCAGTTTGATATAAAAAGATTTATGAATTTAGTCGATGTGCAAATTAAAGGCAGTCAGATTTTAATAGATAAAGTAATTTAAACAATTGTGCACTAAGGAGAAAAAATGGAGGAGCTACGATTAAGCTATAAGAATTAATCTAAAATAGATTCTTTAGATAAAAGCATAGCCTTAGTGCATAAGCTTAAAAATTTAAAACATGTTGAAATAGTTTAAGATGGTTGGGTAGACATGAAGTGGATTGAATCACTGCTAAATTAATTTAAGTTAATAGTGAATATCAAATAAATTTTTATAAGTAATCCTCAAATTGAAGTTAAATTTCATGAAGAAAACTTACTGATCTACTCTAACACCTAAAGCAGTCTTGAAAAAGTTCTTGATTTCTTTGATGACCATCAAGATTACTTTTAAAGAATAAAAAATATATTGATTTAAGCAAATCATAAAATACTCTACAATGAAAACCTAAGATTGCGTATCTCTAACATTTTAATAACTACAAAAATCGTCATTCAAATTGTTATAGAGCACATAAATATAGAAAATTTTGATTAAGTATATCAAGTCAGTGATAACACCTTCGATTCAAATAACCTTTCCATATCCTCTGAGATGGTCACAACTCTAATCATAAACTCATAGTAAGCGAAGCATTTTATTTTCAGAAGTAAATTTATTCTCATTTTTAATTAAAGATACTAGCAACTTGGCACAAAAAATCAAAGAATTATTTGTAATTCTTTTGCATAATTCGAAAATCTTTAAAAACTAACACTTGATTTAAGGTAAATTATTTCTTTGGCTATTTATTTTTTTACATTTTTAAAAAATTTAAATTTTGTAAATTAAATTAAAATGAATTAAAAAATTCTTATTTTAGAGTAAAATTTAAATTATATTTTTTTCATTTTGCTCTTTTTAAATTATTTAAGTAATAAAATTTAAAATATAAATAAAAGCTATTGTAAAATCCACAAACATGGAATTCAGATATTGAATAATTCTTTATAATTAGCTGCTTTATTGACACATTTATGGATAGATTTAAGGTAACAAATCTATTTAAATGAATAAATATAAATTTGTTTTATAGTTTTACAAATTTAGATGATAAGGAAATCATTGAGATGATTGATAGCATTAAATAGATAAACTTAATTTAAGTTATTATGATTAAGCTAAGGTAATTTATTTATTTATTTATTTCTTTATATTTATTTGAGTTGATGAAGTTGCTGAGTAAATTTTAATAAAAGGTATACAAATATGAAAAATGAAGGAAGTAATGCAGTATTATCTTTGTTTAATTCTTTTGATGATTTATAAGAAATTGAGTTAGACTTAAGGTAAATTTAATTTCTAAATATATTTGAAGTTAGATTTTTTTTGTTTTGATTAAATTGCTAGTGGTAACAATATTAGTTTTGAGGGACTTAAGTATTTTGAATAAATATAAAAAGAGCTTCCAAAAATAAAAAGAATATTTATAGATCTCAAGTAATTAGTTTTTTGTTTTAAATGTATATATTAATTTTTGTATCTATTTTTTTAGAGAAGATATAATAGAAGATGAAGGAGCTTTAATTCTAAAACAACTGTTTAATCATTTAATTTTGCCAAATGTGGAGTACATTGATTTAAATTTAAAGTAACACATTTCAATTTTACTACTTTTTGTGAATTATTTATTTTTTTAAAATTAATAGTTTATGCAAGCTAAAAATAAATGGTATTAAAGGTATTACATCCTCCATCTCTGGTCTTACAACCCTTAAATATTTAGACCTCAATATGTCGTAAATTGAAATTTTATTATTTTACTATTGGGTTTAATTATTATTTTTTCAAAATAGGAAAAACTATATTGAAGATGAATATACATCTCACCTCTAAATTTTAACTGAATAGCTACAATTTATTAAAAATCTCAAAATTATTTATTGATATAAATTAAATTATTTCTGTATAATATTATTATCTATGTATTTTATGTATTTATTTATTTACTTTATCAAAAAATTCATTAATCAAAATAAATATAAAAATAATTGATCCATTCAGTTCAGTCCTAAGTTGTTTAATAATATTTTTGTTTTTATTTCTTTGCTTTTAATTTAATTTTGTTTTTTATTTATTTTTATTTTATTTCTATTTATTTATATTATTTTTTTAGTTTGTTTTTATTTATTTATTTTTTTAATTAATTTTTTAATTTTTATTAATTTATTTTATTTTTTATTTGTATTTTTTATTTTTTAAAAATATTTAAAAATTATTTGTGCGAGATGTGTGTGTGTGTGTATTAATCAAAATTTTATGTGTGTGTGTGTGTGTTTGCTTCTAAAATAATAATTAAAATTATTTATTTCGAAAAATTCGCCTTTGAGCTGCAGCTAAGAGCTCAGGTACCTAAGGGAATAGGAGATTCTAATATATTTTATATTTTATCGGGAAAGAGAGATCTTTCAAAGCTTTAGTGATGAATTAATATTAATTAATCATGGAGATAATTTTTTGGATTAAATTAATCATTGGTGATTCGAAAATAAATGATTTAAATGAATAGTAATGGTTTGTGAGTATTCTATCATTAAATCAAATTATTTTTGATAAGAAGTCAGAAGAGATGACTTCAATATCGGGTTTTAAAAACTGATTGTTCCATGTTCATTTTTATTAATTTTTCAGCTACTAAAGAATTTCCAGATGCGCTTTATATTTTTTAGAGATTCGTGAGAGAGTTATTTTTATCTAATTTATTTAATTATATTTTTTTTTGAAATTTTTTGTTTTTATGAAATCTTAATTAATTCAAATCATTTATTTCCCACTTAAGAAAATTCAAATTAATAAATAAAAATTTGTTTGTTTTTGAATAAGCAAGAAATTCAACTAATAATTAGATTTTTATTTCTTTGTACATGAGATAATTAGCTTTGTTTGATAATTAAAAATATGTAAATAAGATTTATGTTTCTTTTAATCAGAATATTTGGTTTCTTTCAAATTTACTAATTTATTTAATTAGATTTTTGTTTCATTTTTGTTTGTTTTTTTAATGTTTTTGTAAGTAAGGATATATATATATTTTTGAATATGAAAATAATAAAAAGAAAATAAATGATATAAATGAATGAATGGATTAAAGGGTTTTTAGTAAGAAGAAATATTGATAAAAGTGCACCAACTATACCTAATAACAATTAATTAAGAATAAAAAGTACAAAAATTAAAATTAATATTATTAATCGATATGGTTAATTCTTAATTTATGTATGATTGATTGGATTTATTGATTGATTGAATGAATGAATATATGTTTTTATGCATGATTTAAAGATTGAATTATTTCTTTCTTTTATTTTTCAATCAAATCAAGGATATAAGCTCTTTTCAACTCTAACGGGTTGTTCACCAGTATTAGCATTAACATTAGCTTATTCAACGGGCTTCTTTTCATGTTCTCTAGCCTTTCTAGCTTCAACTCTCTTAATGGCTTCGTTAATTTCAGTTTGAGTGATGTTAGTATATCTATCATCAGCCCACATGGTGTCGGGTCTTAAGTGTTATCTGGTACCGTGAATCTATTTAAAATAATTTGATTATAAGTTTAATAAATTTAAAATTATTTTATTTTTTAGAAATAATTCAAGCTCTTCATTTTTTAACAATCGATAAGTAAGTTCATTTATTTATGCTTTGAAAAGGATATTTTATAAATATAACAAATCGATTTTGTTTATTTTGCATGAAACATCTGAAATATAAATTGTAATTCTCTAATATAATTTAAAGGGCTAATTACCCAGGTCTTAGGAGCGACATCAGCAACGGTACGTCCCTAATTGTATTCTTCAACTTACATAGCTCTGATATAAGTCTAATTGTTGATGGCAAGAGCCTTGGTGTAGAATCTAACCTTTTCCTTCATGTGGTCCAAAGCCCAGTTAGGACAAATAGCAAGAATGTCTTGAGCTTCACTGTTGCACTTTTCGGTACCGTTGACCATTTGGCATCTTCTGTAATTTTAGATGGTTCTGATGCAAGGTCTGGGTAACTTTTCAGAAGTGACGACCAAAGTAGAATAATTACCAGGAGCGTACTTAATAAGTTATAAGTTAGCCTTGGTTCTGTTGGTTTCAGCTAAGGGATCATAGTCTTTTCATATTCAAAATACAAATAAAGTTATTAATTAATTGTAAATTAAAGTGATTAAATTCATTGACAATATTTTCCCTTTATCATTTTAACTTTAGCTAAATTTTATAGCTCACATTTGATGGAGCTTTTTAATATTTTTTAGGCTATTTTGAGGATATATATTCTAATTTTGTATGCCTATCCTGTTGAATGAGAAAAGGATTAAGTCATTTTAAATAATATTTCTATTTAAAAGTTTCTAAATTGTTATTTAAAATTATTTAGCAATTCAAATAAATCTATTTATTTTTGAGAATCAATTTTATAAATTTAATTGAATTGAATTTGCAAATCTGGCTGGATAAAGCTTTGACTGACTGACTGATTGATTGATTTGTCTGTTGAAGTATTTTTAAATTGATTGAATGAATTTGATTATATCTTCTAATTCTAGGTTTGACTCATTTGCTTTATATTTTGATATGAAATGATAAAGATATTTTGTTCTTTTTTATTTAATTAGGCATTTTTTAAAAAGAAATATCTTTATAATTCGCTTTATTTCCTTAAGTAAACGAACAAATCTAAACGAGATATTTGTTTGTTTCAACAAAACAAACCGCTTATATCTATTTGCGCTAAATTACTTGATTTTTTATATCAAACACAGGAATTGCCTTTTTTCTTTTAAATATGACTTGCATGTCAGTTGATTTCATGATATTTGTTAGCTTATCTCTTCTACTATTTAAGCGTATCTTATTCAAACTTTGTATTAACTAATTTATATTTCTTTAATGATACTCGCTTATATTTCTTAAAATACTTAGAACAACACTATAAATATATATATAAGTAAGTATATTCTTTTTGGCAAAGCTTGTATTAGAATTCTTGAGTTAAATTTTTAAAATGCTAAGGGACTTATATCGGTCAATGTGCTTTGTGGTAAATATAAAATATTCTATTTGGTTTACGAGTAGGGAAGACTCTATCGAAGTGGATTCCATTAGGATAAGGATTGGGAGCATACCAAGCGTTACCCCATCTCAAACCAAAAGCAGCTCTGTCTTGAGAGGGAACTTGTCTGTATGAAAAAGGATTAATAGAAGCAATAGATCTTCTGAAACTGGCCAAAAGTTAAGTTTGACTATCCTACTTGATATTGACGTAGGGATAGTGGGTATCTTTTTTTCATTAAAATAAATAATACTTAATAATAAGATTGCAATAATCTCGTGAAATGCAATAATCAATAAAGAAATCTTAGAAGAAGAGAAGGAGCGCTTGAACTTATTTGACACTAAAACCAAGAAATTAAACAGCAAAACCTGATTTAAGTATAAACTCTATTTCCGCTTGAAATACTACTATATTTTCCTTTAAATTGCTAAAAACTTTGAAACTAAAAAGTTTTAATTCTAATTTGCAGATAGATATTCATCGATGCAATTTAATCAATGCAATAATTCGATGTAAATCTCCCTTAACTTATTTCATCCAAACGCACTCCATTTATTTACAATCTTTCTTGGTACTCCTAAGCTCGTTCTCCTTCTCTTCCTTTTTAAATTATGTCACTTATTACTGTGAATGTCGTATGCGTAAATTTGGCCGGGTGCCTTATTTTCAGACATTTTATATTTATCTTTTTAATATTTTTTCTTCTTGCTTTATTTTATTTATTTCTTGTTTTATTAATCCAAATAAAGAAAAAATCTCTTCCTCACTCATCTATAGACTACCAATTAATGCTCATACATTTTTCTTCTTCTTCTTTACCTTCTTTCTTTTTTTTTCTTCTTTTTAAATTCACTTTTTTTCTTTCTTTTCTTTCTCTTCTCCTTCCTATTTATTTATTTACAAATTCATTCATTTATTTCTTTATTCATTTCTCATTCTTTGTTTGTTTGTTTATTTATTTATTTAATTGATTTGCTTGCTAATATGTTTGTTAATTGTGAAAACATACATACCTACATTCATTCATTCATTTATTTATTAATAAATTCATTTAATTTATAGTATCGATTTAATTGTGATTCTTCTCCTCCTTTTTCTTTACCTACTTGTCTTATCTTCTTTTATCTTTCCTTTTATTTTGCATATTCTTTTTATATTAACTTCATTTATGTTGAGCTATTTACAATAAGATACTTTCATTCTCTTTTAGTAAAAACATATATAAAATCAAGCTAAAAAGCAAGAAAGCAAGCTAATAAACAAGCAAGCAAGCAAGCAAGCTACAAAAACAAATAATTAATTAATTAAATAAATAAATATACAAGTAAACAAAAACTATGAATCTTTGAAAATCTTTATATTTTTATTTTTATTTAATATTTTATCATAAAGATACTGATAATAAAATAATGAAAAAGGTACATCAAACTATTTTTTTATTATTTATATTTCCTAATAAAGATATCTATTAAAAATATCCACTAAACCATATAATAAGCTAACTATCTAACTAGCTAGCTAACTAAATAATAAATTTATCTTAGCCTCATATTAAATCTAAAATATATTAATTATTTAATAATTGAAAAAATTATTATCTAAAACTTAATTATAATAAATACGAATATTTTATAAATTATTAGTTTGCTTGCTTGATTGATTAATTAATTAATTAAATTTGAAGAAATAAATTTGACACTTTTAATTAGGATTATCTCTATTATTTATTATGTTAACGAAAAATAATATCTGATATATCAACTCAGTAGATAATTTTAATTGGAAATATTAATTAATAACTCTAAATTACTCATAATTCCTATTGAAATGAGAAGTTTTAATGATATAAAATATTACTATTACATTTTCTAAGATAGTTTCAATTAATTTATGTAGCTTGTAATATTAAATTCCTAATTGAAAGAAATAAAGTGATTAGTTTTGTATTTTGACACTTCTAAAAAAAATGTAATTACCAAATAATTTAAATTTAATAAATTTTTTATTTTTTTTAGTTTATTTTGGAAAAGATATTGTTTCAAAGTTGCTTTTAGATAATATATTGTGTAAATTCTATTTATTTATATAAAAAATATCTCCTCAAAAAAATAATTTCAATTTTAAACCTGATCAGAGTACCCAATTTTATTAATATTTGTAAGAAATAATTGTGATAACTGTTAGTTAGTAGAATACTAAGTTTTTTGAAAGTTTTTTGCTTATTTCAATAGAGCAAACAAAATAAATATTAAAAATCAGTGATTAAGAACTTATTTTTTGATAAAATATTATTATAATTTATTTTTAAATGCATAATTTTTATTTTTTATAATAAATAGAGTTAAATAAATTATTGCTTTAACATATTTTGCATAAATTCATTCATTCAGTCATTCATTTTGCTTATTGAGCTTTTTTATTTCTTAAAGCTTCCACAAATTGTATAATTTTATTAAGACCAATATCTACTCCTTCATTCTTTTAGGCGGAACAATTTTAAATATGTATTTCTCTTTGCTAAATATACTAAAGACCTATTTCTTAGTTAACCTCCCAAAATCCTACTCCTTCTTTATCAGATTTATTTATAAGGATAAGGAGAGGTAATTCTAACATACCGGGTGAACTGATGAATTATCTCATCAACAGTCCATCACTTCTTAATTTATCTTTTCTTGTCCTATCTACAACGAATGCAATTGCATCAAAGTTTTTGAGCAATTTTTCATTCATTGTTGTATGCTAATCTTCTTCGCTAATTGTCCAACATACTATTTCTATTTCCTCATGCTAACCTATTTCTTAAGTCACCTTAGAGTTTAATTTTTTAGTTGATTTACTCTAAAATGAAATCTTTTCAAAAACTGTAGATTTCCCAACTCCTTGAGAGCCAACCAAAGCAATTCTAACTTTCTGCTTTCCATTGCCACTTATTACTTATTCTTAACCTTCTTATTCCTAGGATTATGTTTATTATGATGTTTCTTCAATTAGCTTACAATCTTTTTCGATTTCTTTTGCTTGTTTTTTCCTTCTTTAGCAGAGATTGCCCATATTCTTTATTAATTAATTAAATCTAACTTTGCTTTATTTACAATTTATAGATATTTATTATTTTTTGATCAAACATGCATTATATTTTATGGATTTTTGTTAGTCATATCCAAATTAAAAACTAAAAAAATTAATTTCTCAATAAATATTTTTTCTATTTTAATTTCTAATTTAATTTTAAAACATCTATTACTTTTCTTAACCTTATAATTTTAGATTACTCAAATATTATTCTAATTCATATTATTGTCCACTATTTACTTATTTATTTATTATAAATCAATAAAATTATCAGCATTTTCCTTTGCAAAATGGTTATGTAAAATCTTAGTATAGCAAAACGCCTAATTAAAATCTAGTGGTATGGCAACCTCTAGACATTAATTAGGCTAGGTTTTTAAATAAAAATTATTATTAATTTCAATAATACGTAATACAATTTTTTTATATTTTACTAAAAAAAAAATGCATCCTAAATTCAAGATTATGTCAATTTATTTATTGAAAATGTATAGAAAATTTGCTTAAATTAAATTTATTTTAATTTAAATATGAATTAAAATCATATTTTCTATATTTATTCTTTAAATTATCCAAAAAAGTATAAAAAAATAAATTTTTCTAAAAAAAATCTATAACAGAAATATCTACTTATAAAAATTATTTTTATAATACTTAAGAAAGAACAATAACTGGTAGAATTTTTTCAAATATGACTAAATAAATAACTGTCCATCTCTAATTCCTACCTTATTACTAAGCATGTGTTTTAAATTTAAATATTAAGTTTATTAAATCAATGTTAAATAATTTTTTTGTGATATCTGTTCATAAAACAAAATATATAAATTAATACTTGATAATTAATTAATGATTATATTTATTTGTTCTTTTTATCCATTTATAATTAATTTTCATAAATTGTTTAGAATATTTTTTTGAAAAAAAAAAATAAATGATATAATAGATTTAAAAATATAATAAATTAGAAGAAGTAATTATTAATTTTTTTATTAATATCCTTTAAATTTATATAAATTAATAAAAAAAGTTTATAAGCTCTTAATTTTTATCTCATTAGGTTATCGATATTGATCTTCGGTATATTTAATTAAAAAATATTATTTTTATTATTATAAATATTTTTAGACATTTAAATTTCAATTTAGTTAAATAAATAATTTTTATTATAGAAATTATCATTATTATTTATTGATTTTTATTAAAATAAAAATATTTAGCTATTTTAACTAAATTGTTATTTCAATTTTTAATTATTTATTATTCATTTTTTATTTTTATATTTTTTCTTCATTTTTTGCTATTAAAATTTACAGTTATAAAAGCAGTTTATTAGTTTTGGATTATAATATTTTTAATTATAAAGTTAATTTAAAACATTTAAGCTCTTTAAGTTTATTTGATTTCTTTTCTTTTTATTATGATTTCTTTTTTTTTTGTTCATTGTTAATTTTATTAATTATTAATAAATCTTATTAATTCATATTTTTCCTTTATATAGCTAAATGCCATTCAAAAATTTAGTGAATTGAGATCACTATTTTTTTGAATGGCTTATGCATTTTAAAATTATTTATATAAAAATAAATAATTTTATAATAGAATTTCATTAATAATATTAATAATTTTAATTTATATTAATCTTTATGATTTTTCAATTAATTTTTTAATTTTAGCTTTTTTTAAAAATTTATCTTCAATTGGATGAAAAAAAATTCCGAAAAAAATATTTAAAATTTTAATTTTATAAAATGTAAAAACTGGTATATAATTCATTTAATGAAAATTTTTATGGCAACTTACCTATTTAATAAAATATTTTTTCTACAATATTTAATAAGTTATAATGAAATTTGTGATGAAGGTGCATCAGGCTTAGGTTTTGGTTTAGCAAATAGCATTAATCTCTCAAATTTGACACTTAAGCTTATGTAAAATCAGTTTATTTGTTTTGGATTGTGATATTTTTAATTATAAAAACTAATTAAAAACAATAAAGCTCTTTTTTCTTTTTCTTTTCATTGTGCTTGCTTTTTTTTGTTCTTTCTTTGTTAATTTATTTAGCTCATCCTTTTATTTTCAAATTTTTTACTTACATTATTAATTAATTAATCTTATTATTTCATATTTTTCTTCATTTTTTCCTTCTAATTAACTATTTAATGATATATTTTTTCTTCAATGTTTAAAAAGTGAAAATTAAATTGGTGACAAAGGTGCATCAGGTTTATCTTTTGGTTTAGCAAATTGCATTAATCTCTCAAATTTGGCACTTGTCCTTTACGTAAAATCAGTTTATTTGTTTTGGATTGTGATATTTTTAATTATAAAAACTAATTAAAAACAATAAAGCTCTTTTTTCTTTTTCTTTTCATTGTGCTTGCTTTTTTTTGTTCTTTTTTGTTAATTTATTTAGCTCATCCTTTTATTTTCAAATTTTTTACTTATATTGTAAATTAATTAATCTTATTATTTCATATTTTTTCTTCATTTTTTCCTTCTAATTAACTATTTAATGATATATTTTTTCTTCAATATTTAAAAAGTTACAATTAAATTGGTGACAAAGGTGCATCAGATTTAGCTTCTGGTTTAGCAAATTGCATTAATCTCTCAAATTTGACACTTGACCTTACGTAAAATCAGTTTATTTGTTTTGGATTGTGATATTTTTAATTATAAAAACTAATTAAAAACAATTAAGCTCTTTTTTCTTTTTCTTTTCATTGTGCTTGCTTTTTTTTGTTCTTTTTTGTTAA